GCAGCATCTTAGGCATGAAAAACTATTTTGTCTTATAAAGCTTTTCATGGGCGGGTGTTTCCTCCCAGTATCTTTCTTTCATCAGTTACTCATTGCATTTGAGAGATACATAAAAATTTGTCGAAACACTCGGTACCAACAAATATTTAGCCGGGAGAGACACAAAGCAGCCATAATACTGACTTGGTTCTACGGTATTGCCATACATCTCCCCCCATTGTTTGGCTGGCACAATTGGTCCTCAGACAAAGAGTGCAGACCACAGGATATTCAAACGGAATTCGCGAAATACGTGATACTGCCACACGTACCAATTTGTCTTTTGGTAATCTTTGGACTGTACGTTGCGATTTTCCGTCATGTCCAAATTAATAAAAGAAGAATAAATGCCAGATTGGTCACTAATAACCGAGCTGAAGTTAATACTTTGCATAAAAATGCCCTGAGGATCCCCCGGGCTCTACATGTATATGCACGTCCACGGAGGGTAAGTCAGAGTGCAGAAGCTTTAGCGTCAACATCGTGTGCTCCGTGCGACATGCGACACATGGGAGCTGACGGTCAAATGTCGCCTACAAACACGATACCGGACGGAGGTCAAGCAAATGACGTTTCCATCTCAACTACTCGAGATGGTAATATTGGACAAAGATTAAAGCAACCGCTAGCTGAAAACCCAACAGAACCGATACCTTCCACGTCAACAGGCAACGCGGCATGCGCAACTAAAGTGCATAGTGAATTCAAAGACACACAAATTGTACATGAACAATCTGTTGATCAAATCGAGCACCTAGGTAGCGAAATCATCAATGAAGATCCAGCAGAGAAAAGACCTGTAGCCAAAATTCCAACGATTGTCTCAACTTCGAACAAAAAGGAGGCAAAACTTGCTAAAATGACAGCCCTTACAGTATGCACACTAATTGTGCTGATTCTTCCTAGTGGAATAATAGGGCCATACCTGGAGCAGTTTTTAAACGACAGGAATCTTTTTGTTACTCTTTTAAATATTAGTTCGGAATTAGTTTTGCTTAGCTCAGCAGTCAACCCTTTAATCTACGGTTTGCTGAATACAAACATCAGAAAGGCAATGTTCAAATTATTGAAATTCAATAATTTTAATTAGAAGACGAATTTGAAGAAATCATTGTTTATACAGCTAAGTTATTTTGTAAATATCTGTGCGTTATTACAGAACTTTTTTTTCATTTTTTGTTTTTGTTCATAAAGGGAGATTTATAAGACTTACTATGTTAGGCGTGCTGGTTAATGACGAGTCTAAAGATATACCGTATGATCTATTAGGGAAAATTCTAATAATTTTATTCATGGATTTCCTGTTGATAGCTTGCCGCAGAATATATAATTTTTGGACCGCATCCAATGGATAACACCTGGAATGTAACTGAATTAAGTGTAATAGCTTCATACCTGCTTGTATGCAACTGCTTAAAGGCTTTGAAACATCTGAGATATTACTAAATTTATATTTTAGCACAAAATGCATATTAAATTATATTCTGTTACGCGTATGTTTAGCACAAATATTACTGGTTACTATGGTTACTAGTGGTATATAAACAGTGACAACAATAGGAGTGTTAGATGGACTCAGCACTTTTTTAAATGTCATAAGCGATTTTGAAAAAGAAGATGGTCAGTTTCATAGAACTAGAATGTTTAAATGTATATGGCCCCAGAAATAACGATTTTCGAGTAAGGAGAGACATTAAAGCACAGTTGTTGATCTTTGTGTCAGTGTGACAGGTAGTAATTTTGAGGGAAAAAGTTTCATCAGAACTAGAATATTTAAGTGTACATTTTTGCTGAAATAACGATTTTCAAATAAGGAGAGACATTAAAGCACATTTGCTGGTCTTAGTGTGAGTATGACGGTTTAGCGTTTTGGTAGAAGTTTATCTTAAACACTCAACACTTTAACTGCTACCTGCATTAATTAAATGTTTCGTCACAGCGCTTCGTCACTTTACGCTTAGTAGAACGTGTGAGTAGTTCAAGTCATACATTGTCTACTGAATGTGTCTGTCCAGCAAATAAACTTGGAATCGTGAACAATACTTCTTGATTAAAAGTAATTATCTGGAATTATAGAAACACCAACATATATGAAAAAACACCCGTAATAACCACAGGAAAAAGTAGTAATCTTATTCATAAGTTGAACATTGAGGTGAAGCTTGTAATGCTAAAATTTATTCTAAAATGGGTATAAAGTACATTAATAACAATTCAACCGAAAAGTAACAAAAAAATAGTTGATGAAATTATAAAATCATTTATTATAAATTTACGATGCTTAGTTTGTCCTGTTTCGAAGTAACTTTGATTGAGTAATGTTTGAGGATATAATTCCATTTTCAGAATACTATTATTATAGCAAGGAGTGGCTATTTAAAAGGATAAAATACAATGTTTTTTTAAGTTTCATTCATGTTTTATCAGCAAAAGTGAAAATACTCCCCTACCTCATCTCTGGTATAATAAGTATAACGTACATTACGAAATTAGCTTATTTAACACCCCATTTCCATAGATTTTTAGATCGATCTATCCCTGTGGGGAGTCTCACTAGATTAATATCAGCTTGGCCGGCTTAAGCGTCTGTCCCGCCTACTAAAAGCTGTAAGGGGGTAATTAACTATGGTGCCCGCTCGGCTGACTGCAATTTAGCGTGAACCCCCAGGGATTTAGGTCGATCTAAAACTTAATCTTTAGATCGATCTAAATCTCTGGGAAAGCACCCTAAGTGAGGGCCTTCATATATATCTAAGACATCCCCTGCACATGCCATACAAACAAACTGGCAGTTTGGCCAGTTAACTTGGTCAATTAACTTGCCCACAATGCAAAGACACCTTAAAGAATGGGCCCAGCCAGGGTGTTATTAACAGGGGGTCTGGGCTTTTTATGCAAAGGACTAGATTTGGTCGGGGCCTTTGACAAATACATATGTAAGGAGGTGTTTGACTTATGTCGGTTCAAGAAAATATACAGGTTTTGTGATATATATATAAATGTGGGGTGTGAAGGCTCAGATCAATGGTCAGTCCAGTGAGTGTTACTGCGCCCGTCCCCCTCCCAAATTTAGGAAGTACATGTATCCTCCTCTTGTCCAACATAGATGCGTGAGTATCTCAATAAAATGACAGATGCAGAGTATGTGTCAGTGTCTACTCTTTCTTGTCTCTCCGTCAACTGTTTTATGCCCACAAAGCGATTCTATATTAAACACTGAAAGTATCAATCATGGAAAATCTGAATACTTTTTGGGCTTGATGCCGTTGGTGTGTACATAAAACCATTAGCATCAGCATTTTCCACTTAAGCAATGGTATCATTTTTACAACTAGGAATCAGTGTGCTATATAGTTTCAGCAGGTTAGGATACCAGACGACCTCTGAGGAAGCCACTGTAAACAGCAAAACAGCGTCGTTTGTTTCTCTAATGAATTGGGGACCATGATCCTTTCTGGGTAGAACACTGAAGCAACGTGGCTTTCTTTATTGAGGTCAGATTTTACTTGTACTGCTCAACTGGTCAAAACAGAGTTTACATACATCCTGAAGAGGCTTACGACGAAGCATGTGCCGGTCATTACTTGCCAAATCAACGGCCTGCATATCCTACAACAAAACTGAACCAAATTGGGCAAGTTTTGGCCGCTGCCTGGAATTTTATTCCAGATTAAACTCTAAAGGCCTATCCCAAGAAATGCCTTGTCACCTGAAAGCTCTGGTAGTAGCCAGATGAGGTCAGGCGTAACAGCGACCTCTGCTGTGACTAGACAACGACATGAGGGTCTTTTGTGGGGCGTGTAACTCTTTTAAAGACAATAATTTGGAAAATATGGAGTTCCAAAATATCGCTTTCAATCGTTTTTGTATGACTTAGAATACATAATGCATTTTTGTTTGCTTCACTGGCGAATTCAATTAATGAACTGATGTCACGATGACATCAAAGAGATTTAAAAGTTATTAAAACGCAATTTTAATCCTTATTTTTATTTATCAGTCAGCAAAATAGGGAAAAAAATTAATGAATTATGATTTGGAAAAAATATTCCATATTAAATGTCAAGTCTCTATATATATAACTATATCTTATTGTTTTTTTTCTTCTTTTCTATTTTTAAACAAACAATTGTTCAACAGTTACAATATGTATTTGCATTTGAGGGGTTAAAAAACTCGTGGGGTTAAATAACAATGAAGAAGATAAAGATATACACTACTGCATTTACTATGCTTTTATGCTCACTGAATAAAGCTTAATAATTAAACAAAATAAATCCCACCAACATCTTTATTCTCACAGTCTATCACATTTTATGGCATTACAAAATCTCAGGTACATGAGAAAACCTTATTTACAGCAAATGTAGCCATGCATTAAAATTGCATAACATTTCTTCATTAAGAAAATGTACTTTTTACATGATCTTTATCTTCAAGTTAATAGAACCTGATCAATACAACTCACCACATGAACATTGTTTTTTCAGAGATTAAAAAAAAAGTTATAAAAAAGTATCAATCCCTTATCCTCACAGCCCTTGTTTCCTACAATATGCTTTGACTTACAGTAAAGTACTTTCGATGTCTCATGATGTGGACCACTATGTATACTGCATGTCTGCATCTACTAAGACAAAATATTTTTATAGGATACCAGTTGTTCCAGCCAACATTCCTTCAGAAAACATAACAATATAGTTCACACAGAGTTTACAATTTGATGGGTTGTACTGGTTGTAAGTTGGCATGATCACTATTTCCACCAATGATGGTAGTTCTGTTTTCAATGCTGTTGTTTTGACAATGTATCTGTTTGATTGTGGATATATATCTCAGGAAGTTCTTCATAACCAATAGCATTTTCAGGACAGACATCTAAACAAGAGGAAAATACATTTCTACTGAATCGGGTACTGCTACTAAATTCTAAAGAAATTTTTATTCTGTTTTTTTTTTTTTTTTTTATTCTTGGGTCTGCTCTTTTAAAGTGCTGTCTACTAGTAGATGAGATCAAGAACATGCATCCCTAACAAAAGCTCCCAGTCAGTCATATGCAACAACAACTTTGAGCTGAAGATCAGCCTTCAAAGTAACCAGAGAGGCTGATCCATCTTACTCTGACATCTTGCCCTCAAATCACCTTTGTTGCTGAGACGTTGGGATTTGCTCCTAGCAGCTTCAGCGCTTTGGTAGATTCTCTGAAAATTGAAAAAGAATATATATTTAGGATTTGCACATGCTAACAGGAAATGAAAAGAACTCTGTAAATTAAATCATTTCAAATTGTGTATTTTGAAAAGGAAAGAGTATGCTTACCAATTAGACAGCAAAACTGACAAATATACAGACATCGTACAGAAAACAAGGCAGCAAAGCTACCAAATGTTCAGACATTATGCAGAAAGTGCACAAAATAATGTTTTGGCCAATTTTGATGCACTGTTGCATAACCCTTTAAAATAGCATCATCACTCTAACCCTCTTACATTACGTACTACAGGTACTACAGGTAACAGCAACTACATACATTTTCCCCCTTAGGTATGGTACATGTAATCATTACATCAGGTAATATAAACAAGTATTTTCAAAGCATAAAAAATTACCGAAGATTTATGTATTATATACAAAAAAAATCAAAATATTGATAAAGCACACTTAACAATATGTAGATATATCAAAATTAAACATAACACGAGCTGTTAGTTGAGATACACAGTTAAAACAATAGTGTGTTACACATTGAGTATGTTACACATTGAGTATGTTACACATTGAGTATGTTACACATTGAACAACTACACCATTTCACCTCAAGTTCCTTTCTGGCACTAGAGAAAATTATCCAAATGTTAGAAAAGTTTCTTTCTGCCGATGATTATAATTTTAATGCTTTAAAAAGCATTTAATAATTAGATCCTACCTTACAACTGAGAAAGAAATACTATATAAATGAACTATCATACATTATATGTCAGCCTATAAGCCTGTTTACGTCCAGGTCAGCCTGTCAGTTTTCAAATAAAATGTTAGTTCAACACTCTTAAAGGCATACCAGAGTGCTTGAACTTTATAAAGAAAAACATACCTGGAAAATTCATCTACCTACTAGTGCTTCTATTATAAGAAGTACTCAAAACTCAGACAATGAAAACTCCAAAACAGGTTTATGGACAGCAAATCTGTTAACAGTTTATAATATGGCATGGTATTTTTTCCAGGAAAATTACACTTTTGTTTAAAAAAGGTCATAAAATCATTGTTTGGTTTTTAAATCTCACCTGCCAAGGACACCTTCTGTCTTCTCTCGTTCCCTCAGAGTTCGTATTATCTTCTTGTCAGTGATACCCATTGTTGCAAATGTGCGAATAATCTGAAAAGAAACAACACAAAAGGTTCTTATTTTATTTGATCATTGTACCCGAAAACAAGTTGAAATTTAAGAAAAATTAAACCAATCAAAACATGATACAGTCACAGATATTTTGGTGTGTGTGTGTGTGCATGCACGTGCACGCACGCATGCAAGAAGAATATGGTGGGCAAACGTGTTAGTGTACATATGTGTGAGCATTTGTCTGCATATATTTACACATGTGTATGCATAAATATTTGACAGAGAGGAGGATGTGTATATGCCTATTTGTCAAGACTCACCATGAGACGGACATATTCACTGGAATCCAGCTCCAGCATCTCCAGGAGTATTCTGACTGTCTTTTCATCCTTCTTCCCCAGAACTCCCTGAGCAAACAAGCAAACATGCAAATACACTAAACCTTTGCTTACTAGAAACATCAGCAATAAAATAAATAAATAAACAAATTAATAAATAAGTTAATAACTTCTACTTCTGTGTATCTGATGAAAGCTAACATATCCAGGAAAACATATTAATAAATGAATGCAAATCACAATTAAAATATTTCTCACCAGGGAAATCACTGCTTGTGACCTAATGTCTTCATCAGTACTATCAAGATGCCTGAAAAATAAACAAAATGCATCAAAACACATGAAAGCCTCCATTTTTACTGCAGTGTAAGACCAGCTACCCTATATTTCATCAAGACTTAGAGTCACCCTTGTGACTGTACATACAACTGTAAGGGTGAATATCAAGCTTGAAAGCTACTATTAGTTAACAGAAGTGGCAATGAAATACATTTCCAAGAAGTGTTCTTTGATGAATATTTCAATAGTAGTTTTATTATATGGCAATTGTATCTCCATATTAGAGGACAGCAGCAACCAATCATTACATTACAATGCTGGAGTCATCAAGTGACTACATCAAGTGACTATATCAAGTGACTACACTTACTTCATAGCCCTGTCACACACCCTCTGGTACATGCCTAGAGCCTGCAGGGCCTTCGTGATCTCAAGTCGCACACTCTGGAACATGATTTAACATGACGTTTTCAAATATTGTATGCATATAGATGATAAAATATGTAACAAAAGGGCTTGCTATGTCTTATAAAAATGTGTTCTTCAATTATGCTCTCTGTAAGTTTGTTGCATTTAATCTCGTAAACATAGTTGTGTGTTATCAGATAATTTTATTTAATTTTCAGTTTTTATTTATTAATTAGAAAGTTAACCATTACAGATAATCACCAGGATATTTCAGCACAAATTCTTCTCTCACCTTGACTGGGTCATCCCAAAGTCTGGATTCCAACAGGGCAAAAACTTTTTCTACCTCTGACTCTTTGCAGACGTTTTTTGGACCTGTAAGTATCACAAATCACACCATAAACAGATAAAAAGGCATTCTGATTATATTTTCTACAAGTGTGAAAGCACACACACACACACACACACGCGCGCATGCATGCACACACACACACACACACACACACACACACACACACACACGCATGCACACACACACACACAGGAAATAATCAGTGGGTACACTTATTTCTTGCAATAAACAATATAAGTGAGTCTTGAAAATTATTCACATAATTGACAAATCTTTCAAATAATTATGTTAGACATATAAAACCAAAAAGTAAAAGTCAAAATGTACAGAAAAAAACCCAACAAGTGGGCAAGTCTTACCCAGGAAAGCAATGAGTTTGGCAGCCTCTGCTCTGTGCCTCCAGTTTGGAGAATGCCTCAGCTGCATTAGAACTGCCTTCACAATGGCCCAGTCCTTCTCATGCAGTTGTCTTACCAGTATGTCCAGGGCCTGAAAGATGAATTATAAGAATGTTCAACTTATTATCTGATATCAGTGGAAGGTACTATTATCTGATATTTGGAAATAAAACTCCCATGACTGATGTGGTGGTCAGGCTTCAGACATTTTGTGTTAAAAGTGTCAAAAATTTGTGCACCATGTTAATAACTGTAAATAAAAATGTCTTTCTTTAATTCATTCACTGATCAAATGTAACATACAACTTCTCGAGTCTCACTTTCTTGAAAGTAATTTTTTTTCTGTCTTGATAAAAAGACTACATTTTTGGAAAGTGCGGTTCATTGCTAATGTCTGACTAATTGGGTGAGACCATTGTAAAAACATTATTGACTCATTTTCAATTTTGAGCACTGATGTCTCTCTTATTCTAAAATGATCCTTCTACCTGATTTTTGATGTGTGTATCCTTGGTCTCAAATAAAGTCTTCCGCAGTCTTGTCCTAGCTGCCTCTTCCTTCACGCACAGTTTACCAAGGCACAGGGAGGCATCAAAGGCAACAGGGTCACAGGGGTCTGGGTTCTTACAGAAATGACTCAGCACTTCTACCAGTATGGGAAAAACTTCCATTTTCTGTAAATTTTTTAACAAGATTTATGGATTACTTAGAAGTTTTGTAAATTAAAATGATAACTAAGCAAAAAAAAAAAAAAAAAAAAAAGAAGACCTAAGACTTTTTTGTGTAATATAAATCAGTGTGTCCAAATACCAATACAAACAAAAGCTGATCTAGGTTCAATCTTTAAAAGCCTTGGTTCAATCTACAATATGCCATCCCATGTTTCTGTCAAATTTCATGAAAATAACTTTTCTAAACTACCATGTGCTATTATTACCATGTTTATAAACTGAAAATCAAAATTAATCAAAAGAGCATCTTTTCAAAATCACCTTATTAACAAACTGTACATTTCGTCCATTTATCATGGCACGTATCAGATCTTTTCTTGTTTCCTGATTGCCGGACACCAAAAACTTAACAATCATTTTAACCACATCTTCTTCCCAACAACCTGAAGAATCACAAAAAAAAAATCAGAAAACATTAAAGGNAGTCTAATATCTGTTAATCTGGGATAGGGAATACTGAGTGACAAGTATTGTTCAGCATGAAAATATTTCTTCAACCTCCAGCAAATTTCAACTATTTCACAAACAGATGAAACAAGCTGAGTGTTAGGCCCTTGTGCAAAAATAAAAGTTTGAATGCTGCTGGGCATGTGTGTCCCATCCTCTCTCCTTACAAACACAGACACAACATGCATGCACATGAATATGAATATGCAAATAACAATTGCCCTAAAATATAACTGACAGGAAATTATTCAGCCAATTATTCAACCAATAAACATAAAAAAGCATACGAATCAAGAATCATGCTCCTTTGAGTGCTAAGGACCAAAATAAATAATCAAAATTAAGTTGATTAGCAAAATCTGTTTAAATATCATTCTACGGTTACTAAAACATAAACTTTGCCCCATTTCCACTACACGTCAACCTGTGTGTTCAATAACATGTATCCTGTGAATTAAAATAATATCAAAACTTACCTGTATGGCATCCTTTCTCTCATCTGGGTGACTGGCAGTCAGGTTGTTGTGGACAATGTCCTGGAAGAAAGGTAAAAGGAAAGGAATATAGACAAAGCTTTAAAGCCCATACCATTCTACTCTGAGTGTCCTGTACCAGATTTTAATTTTCATTTTTCATTGAAAGAAAAAAAACTGTTTCTGCTCTCACCATATGAATGTACAGTCACATAAAGCTTTTAAATTACCTTCACTCTTTCCCATTTGATCCCTGAGTGTTTCAAGGGACCTGACTTAGGCTTGATCTTTTTCCAAGTCCCTGAAAACAAATAAAACTAATTAGGGCTTTGTGTCTGAGGTTAAATATCAGTTGCAATATTAAAATATTTTCATCTATCATGCTTACAAATAAAACTAATTAGGGCTATGTGTCTGAGGTAAAATATCAGTTGCAATATTAAATTATTTTCATCTATCATGCTTACAAATAAAACTAATTAGGGCTATGTGTCTGAGGTAAAATATCAGTTGCAATATTAAATTATTTTCATCTATCATGCTTCTAGGAAATTACCAATGTAACCAAAGTAACTTTACATGAAAATAAAATAAGAACAGTGAAATGTTAAATGACACTTTAACTGCCATAGTTGAAATATTTTTACCATAAACAGAGTCTGCACTGGTGACTGTGTTTATGATAAAGTAATAGATAATAAACAAGCGGAGAGCAATAGCTCTCTAAAAGTGCTTAACAAGGTTAATTACCAAACTGACTGAAACAAACGCATCAGGATAATTATAATGTTATCCGACCAATTATAAACTGTCATACCCACCCCTCCCCACCCATGTAATAAACATTTATTCACATCTTAAATTCTAACCATTGGGGTTGTTCCTATTTTTACTTTACCTGTATTTCATGCTTTGAATAAACTAGTGCCAGTATATATGCACTCGTAAAAAATGCAAATGCAAGAACATCCCATTAATAAGGCTAATCTCTATGACAGTTAGCACAAATCAATGTCCAAGCGGAAAATTCTCTTATGTACCATGGTTTGCTTTGGTAAACCCAGTTGCAAAATACTGGTCAGAAATGAGTGTTAAAAATCTTACTATAAAATAACTGGTAAATCTTCTACAACATGCCATGCATTCAAAACACACCTCAACCAGCACTTTGCTTATCTACTACCACAGGGTAAAATGTTTACCATCTAGTATACCGATACCTTCTTCCTCTTGCTCCTCCTGACCACCTGTCTCCACAGGTTCTGGCATGGAGACATCCTGGCTTGGTCCACCTTGCCGACTGCGCCTTCGTGACATGTTACATGTAGAGCGGGATTGGGGGAGCTCTATGTCATCTATTCATACACATAGGTGCACAGCAAACAGTGCAAAATATATCAGTGTGTGACAAAAACATCTATGAACTGTGAAACATACTATAATATCTATAGTGATATGTAAATTTATGAATCAGTAAAAGTGAAAATATCAAGTTAAAAATTTAAATGAAAGTAAAACCAACTAAAATTTACTGTGAATGGCAAGACAGCTCAGTAATACTGTGATTCTAAAAATTAAAAGAAAAATCTGTTGAATGGAAAAGCATTCTATTCAGTTTCTTACAAATTAAATACATAAATGTACTGACACAATTAGGGAAGAGTTTCTGATGTATTGAGAAGACTGAATGATGAGGAGGAGGATTAAATGTCACTTGAAGCTTACAAATTTTGCAACACAATTATTCCCATTCACAAACTACATGCTAAGAAATTCTCATTAATTCACTAAAATATATTTCTGCATGCAACAATCAAAATCTAATCTATGTTAGACACTTTCAATAATAATTCAAGCCTGAAGATTGTTAAATCTAAAAAAAATGAAGTACTTAATCAAGCATGCAATTTGATGAAAGGATTTAGTCCAAATTGCCTCAAAGGATTTGGTCTTGGGGTTTGGAGAAAAGGGAGGGGCTGGGGAATGACTGGAGATGGGTGGACAAGTTAAAAAATGATTATGAAGTACTGAGTAAAAGGCAACAAACAATATTTAAGGCAGTAATTTTTTTTAAAATGCTTATCCATGCAAAGGAGAAAAAAGTATGTGCAAGGAACAGCCAAACACACAAAAAAGTGATTTTCACACCAAACTGAATCAGCCACAGCAGTGCGTGTTTTTTAAATGTCTTTTTTTTATATCAGTTCTGAGTTCAGTTGCCCCACTGACTCACCTCCACCTCCCATTTTGCTTGCTAGCTTTGCCATGGCCTTAAATGAAACTGAACGGCTGGAACTGAATAACAAAATTGATTTATAAATTATCTCCTGTGCTAATTCATATGAGTTCTCAAATTTAGAACTGAAATACACAGGACACAGAAGATCCAGTGTATGATATGTACTTATTTTGTCTGGCAAGATTAAATAAATAACTAGCTAGTTTCTGATTCATTTTCTGCAAATTTAACCATAAGACCACCTCTTTTAACTCTCTTTCCCTTACTAGTCTGCATTATTAAAAAAAATATTAGGAATCAAAGATCAACATTATTTCACATCAATTTTTCCCTGTACTAATAAATAAATATATGAATAAAAAATAAAAATGTTCAGGAAAGTTTGACAATGGACATCTTCTTGAATACATACATTATTATGCTCAAACTATGAAACAAACACTGACATTTTGCTTGGTAGTGTGCAACACCCTGGATATTGGTGTTCATGATTTTATATTTCTATTTCTGTAATTTTTATTTCTATTTCTATTTCTCAAAAAGAAAACAAATATCTACTCATTTACCATTAAACATGTATCAAAACAGGGTGGCCGAAACTAAGAATCATAGCTTCTCCTAAAAATCTTTGAACTTTTAGGATATGGCTCTAGCTAGTGCAGTAAGTAATAGCCATGACTTACGCAGGTGTTGTGGCGCCTTTCCTTTGCACCTCCTTTAGAGTGAGCTGGTGCATAAGCCCCTTTGTGTCATTCTGAGATGACACCGTTTTGGACTTGGGTTTGGCCCTGTAAAGACTGAACTTGGTCTTCTCCAAGAGATTTCCCTGGTTTACAATTCTCTCTGCCTTCTCTCTGGGAGTGTGGATATCATTGAATGCATTGGGAAGGCGGGGGTACTCCTTGTCTTTACTCTAAAATGACAAAACAGAGAGGGCATTAGAGAATTTGACGGTGAAACAATCACAGTGAATTGAGTACAAAATTGGCAAAAATGAACTGCAAGCTCATTCAAAACTGATACTCCTACACAAACATTTCTGAGGGTGTGTCACAATACAGTATCTCTGTTCAGAAAAGATCTCTTATTCATTACTCTAGCTGTATGAGCTGGCCACAACTCAAAATCTTTTTCATGTGTTTTTAAATTGTCTCACCAAGCATTACAATAATCACTGATTGATAATATCATAATAACTAATACAACAGGCCAAAAAACTGAAATGATTTTTACACTTACAGATAAACAGGTCACTGGTTATAATTCTGGATGTGGATTCTATCTCCTTAGTCAAATTCTGGATCTAGATTCTATCCCCTAAGCAAAATTATGGAACTACAAGAACGAACTATATCAAAACATCATCTGAGGCACTATAGTTAATATCCAATTTGTAATACTCACTGTTCTGGTAATGGGCAGGACAGGGGGTGGGGTGACAGGGTTGGGGTAAAATACAATCCTGTGAGAAGTTGTGGTCCCCATTCTCTCCTTGGATATATGCTCATTATTTCTCTTGACAGGTGGCAAGCTGACAGTTGTCTCATTGTCGCCTCCTCCAGAATGACTGTTGTTTTTAGAGGCTTGCGTTCCTGGCAACTGAAAACGCACAAGTGAAACATGATGATCAAGTTTGGGTGCACAGCTTTTAAAAAGTCAAATAAAGCCCCATTTTAATAAACATCTATTTATGTATTTTATCTTTCATGTAAACACAAGTATTACTGGAAATGGGTAAATTATACAAAATCAAAAGAATTCTTTAAAATCTAAATTTTTTAATGGGTAATTTTATCACAAACTTTACCTTTACTGATTCAGCTGTTTGACCCCTACTGCTGAATTCTAAAATATAAAATCACATAATATATATAACTTTCTTTAAATCTATATTAATACATATGACCAATGGTCTGCAGTTATCAAAGGCACAAAAACTGTTCATTAGGAATTATAATATTTCAACTCTCAAAAGAATTTGTGGGACGCAAATAAATAAATAAATAAATAAATATATATATATATATATATATATATATAATTCATGCCACTCAAACAAAAAACAGGTGCAACTTCCAGATGTGGATTCAAGCATTTTCTCTTTATCATTTACCTAAATTCCAAATATTTGATGTGTTCATACCTTTCCAAATAAAAAAAAACTTACGATCTAAATTTTTGAGGAATGTGCTTTCAACTGGGATGTCTTTCTTGAAGTTGGGATCCACAGATAACATGGCAGCATCATGGACCTTCTCATACATCTTGTGCATCCTCAACGACAACTTGTTCAATGCAATTTCCTGTAAGAGAATATAGCATAACATATATTTTGAGGTATTTGGGCATTGACTCTGAAAACACTACCATGTCCCAGTAACACACACAAACACACACATCTTCAAAATGCTTTGTTGCACTGCATAACCATAGCACTCAACAAATTATTATTCTGCAAAGAAAATAAGAAAATAATTATTATACGATCACAATATAGTCTCATAGACCACAGCACTCACTGTTTATAGACAAAAAAATAAATAAATAAATAAAATGTTAAGCAACTTTCTATGTCTACAAAGATCAATTAATAATTAGGATGGGTAACAGCACATTCATGCATTAACCAGGGCAATGGTGTCTGAAAATATATGAAATAAAGGCACACTTAAAGGATCCATAGGAAAGAATTAATTTTCAAAATAATAATAATAATAAATAAATAAACAATAATAATAATAATGTAATTGAACCTCATTCAGAAAAAGAGAAACCAAATCAAAATTAATATGTTTTAAAGGCAAAACCTGCAAAATAGCAACACTTCTTTATGGCTCCTTACTCACATATTTTGTATTGATGCTATGCAATACAGGGTCATGACGCAAAACCTTTGGTAGCAAGGGCTTCAAATTAAAAAGTACAAATATTAACACACCAGGTTTTTTTAAAAATTTTTTTCGTGATATTTTTAGTACACATTGTGCAATCAACGTGACGATCTCCTTGTTAAGAAACAAGCTTCGCCCCATTTTCTTGCAGTGGGGCCTTTTCTTCGTAGTTCCCTCAGGGCTTTGCTCTATTCATTTATAAAACGTGTTGGGCAACCATGGTTTTAATTGCCTTACTCTTTCACCCATATATTATGTCCTTGCTTTCAACTACATTAAAGAGGCTAATTATTGGCGAAATTTTGAAAACCAATTTTATTATCAAAATATTAAATCCTACTCATACAGACTGTTTATTTTTAAATTCTTGGAAGAATAAGATAAGAATGAATAACACTGTTCACAACATCGCACAGTCTTGCAATGACTTACATGTATATCCAGTAGCTCTGCAGCATTTTTAGGCCTCCAGGGAACAGTGATGTCAGACTCAACAACTGAAATATTAAGTAGCATAAAGTATCTATGTTTCAAAAATATTATTTATGCAACATGGACCTCTAGGATGTATCTTTTACAAATGTTTCTAAGATTTTATTTCAGACACTGAGCACAGTTAATTTACAAGACATTTTTGGGGAGAAAGGGGTCTTCTTAAAGGAAAATTTGGTTGTAAATTTAAAAAAAAATCCATGAGCTATTCCTGTAGCCAAACACAAGAGGGAGGCTATAATACAGCAATAATGTACAATGAAATTTTATCTGGACTTCTATCAACAAATAGCAATTTTATCAAAGCCAGATATTCTGGCTATTGAAAGCATCATACTTCATAAATATTCTGTTTTGGATATCTTATTGTAGATCTTCCTAAAATATTGTCAAAATAGTTGAATTTTAATGCCAATTGAATAAAACAAAAATTAACAAAAATACACTTACTTATCTAAATACAAGCACTCATGCATCACCTATCAACCTACTTTCATTTATATAAGTTCCTGGGACAGCTAGCCCCAGCTGGTGGTATGAGAGAGGGTCCATCTCACACAGGACAGAAGAGTAGTCCCCAAAGTCAAACCTATGGTGTTCAGACTCCCAGTAAGCTCCAGCAAGATCATCAGAATCCTGTGCAAAACTTTGCTCTCCATTTGTGTCTGGAAAAAATGTACAACTATGTTTGAGTGAAATGAGTGAAAAGACTATAGAAAAATGTGCATGTGAATATAATGATGTTCCATCTTAAGAAAATTTAATTGTATAAAAATTCTTTTAAAAACTGCTCTGTACATGTATCAGCATACTTGGATCTGATAATTCAGCTTCTGGGAAAATCAAATATGTAATAACAACATAAATACAAAACAAGAAATAAATCAATTCCATGGTTCATGTATGATGCTTTAAATCCTATTTATCTGATATTCCCTTTGAACATTGGTGAACTTTACCATATACTTTTAAGTTCAAGTATTTTTATATATATATATATATGTCTTTCAATAAAATAATTGTAAATTGTATTTTATACATTGAACATAAAACTTCAATCTTTAGATTGTATACTTTTAATAAATCATCATTATACAAACACAGACTGCAGGGGTGGATTTAGGGCATCTTCTGGGTCTTCCGGAAGACGGTCAGACTTTCAAGTTTACATTGACGGGTATCTAATTTTTTTCTGTTGGAAGACGGTCAAAAATGGAGGATGGATCAATAAAGATAATTTGGAAGACTGTCAGAAAATAATTCTGGATCCATCCCTGGACTGAAGGCTTCATCCTCACCTCCTCCCTCTCTGCTAGGTGACTGTATGGTCACTCTACTACCCTGTGTTCCCCTGGAGGCCAGTTGTGTCCTTTGAGTTTCAGTCATGAACACCTGGACAGGGGTCACTGGTGTCCTGTCGCCCCCCTCATCTACCGACCTGGTGTCAGCTTCATCAAACTCCTCCCTCTCAGACTCCTTTGGGTCCTCCTCCTTAAACCTTTTCCTAGAGTCAACTGTAAACTTTGGTTCCTGGTGTTGTGACTAGAAGAGAGTTAGAGAAATAGAGAAAAAAAAACACAATGAACTATTACCTAAATTAAATTTTGCTAAAACAGTGTTATAACAGTCACCACTGAACAATTATTGGAAATCAAGGATAAATGGACAATCAATATTTCTAAATAAATATGACATAAAAACTAATCATTATTGATACTTTTTTTAAATTGCCTTCGGGGGATATTAAAATAAAATATGTCATTCAATATGAGCTTTAAATAACAACACATTCAAAATGGAGCACTTTCTCTTTGAAAGAATGTCACAAATCCACAAAACCACACAAATGTTTTTCTTGTTTCATACCTTTTGTCCAGACGAAACTTCTTCCCTGTCCATCTGCTCTGCTGTGTGAAGGTGACCTTCACTTAGCTCTGAAGACAAGAAAGACATCTGGCGGTCTGCCGTCTTAGTGTGGGCACTAGCAGGATACAAGGAGCTCTGTGTCATCTCTGGTCTAGGACGGGAAAGGGGCTCAGTTTGCTCACGACGTATGTTGAGTGACGGTTTCAGTTTTTCTGAAATAACAAATTTGGTAAACTATATTTTCAAAAAATTTCAGACCTTTCAATAAATCATGCAAGTCAAGAAACAGATAGTTTATAGCTTTGCCAAAATAAGAAATGTGTTGGACAGTCACCATAAATTATCATCTGTTTACACCAAACTTCCCTTTATTGTACCTAGTTAGTGACTAGACAAAAAAAATAAAGGTAAATAGACTTACCAACTGACAGGACTTGTTCAGGAGGCACCTGGCCACCACTGTGCTCCTCTATCAACTTGGTTTTTCTTCCTACTTCCTTCTTGGCAGGTAATTTATGCCTTACAGCTTTGGTACTCCTGTTTTGATCCATAGAGTCAAGTGTCTCTTCTCTGTGTCTCTGGGACGTGGGAAGATGTGCAGGAACGTCAGTGTCACTCATTGACCGAGGTTCCATTGTGTTTGCTGTGCTGTAATCTGTGACATAACCTGCATCATTTCTCCCAACACTGGTATGCTCTCTATTTCTCTGTTCTTGTGTGGATGGAAAACTGCTAGGGAATTCTTTTCTGGGTGACACCTGGTTGCGGCTGTGAGGCTACAATTTCATTCAAATGGTACACATAACCAACGGGCAAATGTAAAACTTTAAAAGTAGCTTTGGGTTAGAAAACCCTAATCTCTGCTGCAAAACTTGTTAAGAATTTCACCTTCCAGAATTTATGCACATACCTGTTAGTCCAACAAAAGCTGACCTGACTTTGGGAAAGCTATACAGTAATTCACTTTGTTTCTGAAATCCCCCCTCCCCTCCTCCCATCAACACGACCTCTCAAATCTATAGGTAAAAATAACATAGACATACTCTTGGGCTTTTTTTCCAGCATAGTGCTTCCATCTTATCTTCCATCCATGTAATTCTCTTCCTGATGGTATTAGGGTCTCCACCATTATCCAAAGTTTTGTGCAGCACTACTCGTGCATAGGCAAGCTCCGTGTTTAACTTGTTGGCAACCTTGAAAATGAGTTCAAAATAAATAAATATTTTACTCTTTGAGAAATTTGAGCCATTCAGTAAAATAAGTAGTCTTTGATTAAAGATGTGGAAAATGGAACTCTCTGGCATACAGTACTGTAGACGAAACCATGAACAAATCACACACTCAATGATATATTTCAATTGCCTTTCATTATATATTTCAATGAAAAAAAAATTACTTGTAACACCATCACAGCTTCTTCTGCCTTTCTCTTCATTTCTTCAATCACTGTCTTGTGAAATTCCAATTCTGTTTCAGATGGGGATTTGAGAGCTTCAAACTCGGCCAGTGCTTTTTCCAGGGCACTTTGGCATTCTCTTACTGTCTGAACCTACATATGGAAAATTCAGAATAACCTATTTAATGTGCTGCACAATTTTTTTATTCATTATCACTCTAATGTTATGTTATGTTATGTTGTGTTGTGTTGTGTTGTGTTGTGTTATGTTGGAAACTATTGCTGCCTACTGAGTAGAGCACAACATTTGATTCAATTTTAATTCTAAGTATAAATAATACAACTAAAATATTTAACAACAAAAGCTTACCTGTTCCGCCATAAGCAGATCTGATCTGTGCTGCACAGTGTGAGCTTGAGGCAACGGCTTGCCACTCTTTACAGAGCGAGGCCGCTCTGTGATTCCTGGTACTCCTGGCATGTCTTAGGACGTGAACTGTGTCAAGGAATTATTGAGTGGCAGCGATCTAAAGCTATTAAGTGGTATAGGCAATTATATCTAACCATATAAACGTAAGAAATCCTCTTTTGGATTCGCTCACTCCATTAGAGAATGGCTGTGCTAACTGGCGATCAACAAGCCCGCTACATATTTACACGCTGAGTGTGTGTTGACATGAGAAGCCATCATGGCGGTGTATACAAAAGTTGTTAGGTGCAAAATCTCGTTTAAAGAAGCAGTACAATACTTCATATTATTACCAAAATAACAATTAAAATTAACAAGTTGTTCATAGGACTATAAGTCAGATGCTCTGGATATAACAAGATCATAAACACAACTTATGTTACGAGATAAAAAGCGCTTTATTGGAAATCTCGCATTACCTCACGCACCTTATTGACCTTCACCTTGCCGAACCACTTTTCGGCCTTTTTTGCAGCCATATTGGCATGTAGGTTTCTCAGTTGGGTGACTGGAAAATAATCCACGATCATCGCCTTTTATAATGACCCTTTATCGCTTTTAATGCAGGATTCTATACAAATATATGCTCTTGTTCACTTTAAGCCACGTGAATCATTCGTATATATTATATTTTTAGAACCACTATGTATTTAAATGGATTGTTCGTGTTTGGGCTAGCTCCACATTTTGTACCGACTTGGTTGTCTGCCTGTAATGAAAGAAAGAAAGAAAAGTTCTGGTGTCTTGCCTACTGTTAGTCGCAGTTATGATTCTGTTCATTGTGTTTATTTTAATTAATTTATTTATTTATATATATATTCTTTCAGAAGCCACCCCTGCCACAATGGTGCGCATGAACGTTTTAGCAGATGCTCTCAACACTATTTGCAATGCTGAAAAACGTGGCAAGCGTCAGGTGCTCATCAGGCCCTGCTCCAAAGTAATAGTCCGATTCTTGACAGTAATGATGAAGCATGGTAAGTCGTGGGAAAAAGTGGAAATAGTTATTGTTCTTTCATTTTATATGCCTCTGTAGCTTATGCTTGTGGAACCCACAACTGCACGAGTAGTTGAGACATTTGATGATTTCCGATAAGTTAAAAGCCTGAATAATGAGCCTGTAACAACTTCATCCACATGTTTATATTCACTGAAAGGTTATTCTAGTCTTGCTGAAATGGGGGAAATCTTATAAAGTTGTGATTTTGTCTTCCATGATATTAGAAATATCAATTTTCTTTTAATTTTTCAGGTTACATTGGAGAGTTTGAGATCATTGATGATCATCGATCAGGAAAAATTGTGGTCAATCTCACAGGGAGACTAAACAAAGTAAGAATGGAGGAAGACAGGAGTTAAATAAAGTTGGACTGGGGGGAGGAGAGGGATAAAACAAAGAAACAAAGTGATATGGGGTAGATGTACATGTTCTCAATGCTTGAATTTTTTGGGGGGGTGTGGTGTTGTTTACTTGAGTCTCAACTTTTTAATATGATGATAAGAAACAAAATTTTGCTTCCTACAAAACCATTTGATATAAATATTACTAGTGTCATGTAGTGCTGATTTCTTCGTATTATTGTTGTCAGGTTTGGTTTTGAAGTGTATTTTGCTGTAATAGTGTTTTTTTTTCTGTATGAAGTTAAGATATTTTGTATTCTTTGTTCCTTGTCAAGAAGTAACATCAGCACAAAAAGGTCTATACGAAAAAGAATGGAAAATGAACTTGAATGAGCAGGGAGCTGCACATAATTAGTTTAAAGCTGATGTTTAAAAAAAAAAAAAACGCTTCATCATTTGAAACCGTTTGTTTCAGTGTGGTGTTATCAGCCCAAGGTTTGATGTTGCCATCAGAGATTTAGAGAAGTGGACCAGTAATCTGTTACCATCCCGTCAGTTTGGGTAAGCTCTGCAGATTTGATTATGTTGAATTTTAAATTCTAGTATGAAGTAAAGCGAAATACCCTCTCACTCAATTTCTGGAGCAGCGAGCTTGGAAAATTGCCTGTGTCATTTCTTGGTGAAGCTTTTTATACAGACGTGCGGATACTGTATCATTCGAATGATAGGTCTGTTGTGATTGTGCTGGAAGTGCTTCTTTATCTTCGCGTTTTAGTTTTACTTTAGATGTATTTACAGTTTAGGCCTACTTCTGTTGATCTGGGCTCCGTATCTCAAAAGGTTCGCTATGTTGCGCACGTGAGCAAGTGTCTCGATTCCATGGCCCCGTATCTCGAAATAGAATCGGTTATGGAATCGAGACACTAACGCACATGCGCAACATAGATACTTAGCCCTGCTTGCTCTGAAATGTATCTCTGGAATCTGCCATTAAGCTGCATACTATAATTTCTTATTTTGGTGTGTATATTTCTTTTCTGAATATGGCCTGTTAAAATATAAGTCCACAAATAATTTCTCTAAACTTTGCCTCTTCAAAAAAGCAGCTCTGCTCTCATCTCTTTGTTTCAATACTATATCACCACTATTGTTGCCATTTTCTTCCTCTCTGGATTAACTACTTTGCTTGGTGAAACAAGATACAGAAGGTGAAGCACCATGTTTGAGTTTAGGCCTCACATTTGCAATGCCCAGCCTTGATACTCGATAGCCAAGCTCAGGATCCTGGTTGTACGCATCCCTTTCAAAGTGATCAGAGCTAGGTTTTGGGTATTTGGTTGGTGTGAAGTTCCTTTCTCAATTTAACTGTCCCATATTTTTCTCAAGCCTGGGCCCTTTGGAAAGGTAAACATAAGGATCCCAGATCTGTTGTCCCCAATTTAGTGCATCCCACAGCTGCACTCGGAGGCATTACCACGACATCTGCACAATTTTGTTAAGCACACCTTTCCTACTACTTTGGTATGTTTCTCTACCAGCCATCACAAATTGTCACAGTACCAAGTGACCAAGACTTGCCACCTTGTTTTTGCATTATGAGGTGTTTTGAAACGCGCTTTATCTACTAATTGTTCTGTTTAAAGGGTGGTAATCCATTTTCACATAATTATGGAGTAGAGATTAAATGCTGTTTATCTAAAAATAAAAACTGTTTACTCTAATGATCTTTTTGGTGTTAATGCTATTAGCATGTCTGGAAATTGAGAGCAGTTGGAAGGAACATGTTTGAATTTACTGTGGTATAGTGGGATTTTTTCTTTTGTTTTACCTGGCAAAATCCAAACATACAAACGGTACACTATTTTTCCCTTACAAACTGTTTCAAGATCGGTGTAAACACAGTTCCTGGAGGGCCACATTTTAAGACTCTTGACACCAACAGACATTTTGGGTCTGTTTCACAAAAGCGGTAGAGAAACTAGAAAAGCAGTCTGAACTTTCAAATCAAGAGTTGTCTATTACAGGCCAGTAGCTATATAGCCAGAGGGGGTTCAGGGGGGAGGGGAAGTCAAACTGTGAAATATAGATCTCATACGGAGAGTTAGGCTTCGTTCACATGCAATGTCTATTTTCTAAATTCTATTTTCTATTCGCGCTATCTTATGATCACGGTCTGTGCACTGAATATCCGCCGCGTAATTACTGGCAGCGCGAAAATAGAAAATAGACATTGCATGTGAACGAAGCCTTATTTTCCCTTTAAGTTTTATGACAAACATTAATTTTTTGTTTTATTATTTTACAGGTATTTGGTATTAACCACTTCAGGAGGCATCATGGACCAGGAAGAAGCCAGGAGAAAACACTTAGGAGGGAAAATATTGGGATTCTTTTTCTAGAGACAGAAAAAAATGCAACATCAACTATTAGAAAAGTGAGAATCGAAAGGACATTAACTAAAATCACTAAGTTAACAAAAAGTGGTGAAGTTTGTATACAAAATAAATTCATCAAGTGGATTACTTGTCTGTTTTATGACCTACTTGGAGTAACTGATAAGTTTGCTGCTTTAGGTTTGAACTAAGCAATGTTTTAACCCTTTCACGTAACTATAAATGGTGGAACAGTAGTATCGTAGTTCCCTAAAATTCCATCAACATCTTATGACAGGATGATTCTTGTGTCTGGACACATCTGGCACCAATCGCCGTGTTCACGTTCAGGCCATTTTTTCGGAACTTCTGTCTCTCTTTGTGAATTTTCCACCTAATATAACACAAAATTGTATTTTGAAACTGACACTTCCTGTCCCCGTGGATATTAACCGTTGACCTTTGCGGTTAGTGAAACGGCCGTGACGGGTGCATCTGTTCTTTTAACAACGTGCTTCCGTGTTCTTTACTGGATGGAACAATCACGGAATCGAGGGGTTGATACGTAAGAATTTTCTACTTATTCACTTAGATAACGGGGAAATAAACGTCCTGTTATGAGAAATTGTTTCATCAAAAGTACATTGGGGTGAGTTTATCAACACGAGCTGATGACGCAACAGCAGCGTTTTTGAACTGCAATTTCGATTTTAAGCTTGAACAGCCAACGATACGTACTACAAGTCGTTCCCAAAGATTTGCTTGATTTTTTTTAAAGCAAAGAGCCGTAATGTGGCCTTTAATGGAACATGGTAATAAGGGGTTCGTATCCCAGGTTGTAGTTCACATCGTAGTCGTCCAAAGGCGCCAGTTTTCATGATAATATCCTACTTGGTTACGGAGAAATGTCCGAAGCCGATCACTATCTCCCATTTTTAAAGCGGCGAATTGGCTATTAACGCTTGGCCAACCTGTGTGCAAAAGCCCGAGGGGTGTCGGTAAAGGCAACAAAAAGATTTTGTGCTCTACAAGTGTTTTACGTCCCATCACCTGTCGTTGCCGTGTACTCTAGAGATAATGCGATAGGTGGACCACCGTTTGACCTTTTGTCTTCAAACTTACAAAACTGATGAATATGAAAGTGCACAGGTGTTGACTTTATGTAGAATGTCAATACATAAAAAAAGAAGCAACCGAATGCGCAAAATCTTGTGGTTCGACCTACCTAGCAAAAACACCGTCAGAGGACCATTGCCACGATTAATAAAATGACCGCAGTTACCCCCAAGGAACTAGTTTGCGTAACTTTACAACAAAAAATTTATTAAAGTTAGTTACAGTTGTATGGGCGATATGCCTCATATCATTTGAGCAAAGAACAAGACGTCATCAACAACAACAAAAAGGAAGTCAAAGAAAATAGTAACATTCGTGAAGAACGTTATGTACAAAGCTACGGTGCAGACCGAAGTAGACTGAAACGGGATTTAAATACTGATATGACAATCATACAAAGTTACACGTCGTTTTTACACTAAAGTAAAACAGACCAAACTAAGCAGTTTAATCTGTTATCAAAATTACAATATTTACAAATATAATGCTTACAAAGTTAATTCTAATATTACATGGAATGTACTTTAAACTGCTAAGTTGCAAGCGAACCTTTCTAAACTATGTATGTGGGACCATATGTCATCACAGCTGACAAGGCTAACTTTGAACTAAAAAATGAGCCATATAATATATCAAATTTTAATGTCATATTCAGTATTTAGGAAAATAATTTCTTCAACGCTTTCCTTGTTTGCTTACTGAATATGGAATAAATTAGTGGATTGATCATGTTATTGACGAAATAAAGATAGAAAATAACGAGATTGAATGGAACAATCTGGTACGTCATCAGCGTCGCTGGAATGTAAGTCAGTATAAATACAAGGATGACAACAGATAGCATAGAAGCACTCCTCATGTCATACTTCACGAGGATCTTCTGAATGAGTTCCTTTGCTTGCACCGAGTCTTCTCTGTCGACGTTCCCCATGTCATGTGTTGCAACAAAAACGGTATCACTTTGTTGGCTCTCTATTAACGATGGAGAATGAAGCCTCTTGTTAGTAGATCTAGTAGTCATTTTCACAAGGGACTGGTCAGCCGACTCGTTTGCACCATAAGTACAATTTTGCTGCAAACCCTCTTGGCCCTGGTCTGTTTCTTTGAATTGCCGATGGCTGTTTGTATCCGTGTTGCATGCCATGCTTTCCTTGAAATCTTCCCGTCTGTACCAGACAACGCTGGTGTCACTGCTGATACTTGTGTCTCCTTCGTGACTGTGAACCGAATTTTCGGTCTCAGTTGAGTCACTTGTTTCCACCTGATTAGAAATATCTGACCTACCATCGGATGTACTTTCAGTGTGCTCCCTCGGTAGATATTGGTCGATTGAAACAGACCCAACACGGTGAACAGCGCGATCTTTTCTTCGGTGCATTGTCGCATACAAAGCACGGACCCGACGACCGCCAACACGCTCCGCGCGTTTTCTGTTATAGCTGTGCTTTCTGATGAAAAACGCTGCATACGCCACGCTGATTACGACAAAGGAAATGATGAACACACTACCGTGGACTGCCCTATACACTCTTTGAAAGTCAAAGCTTAAGATAGTGTTGACCCGAGAACATTGTCCTCCAATGGATACATTTAGTGTAACGTTTTGCTCATTTTCGGGGCCTGGGTAATTTGGGGTGTTCCTTGTAAACGATGGCAAAGTTGTATTACGTGTAGTAGAGACCGAAACAAAATCGTTGTTTCCAGGTACAACGGCAAATTCCTCGGATTCTAGTGTAAGAGGTGATGGTGCTTGTCTTTCTGTTTCGTTGCTTCTCTCAGTAACCCCGTAGCAGAGCGATGCGATTATACCGAGCGTTAATGCCAAACAAACCAAACCAAAGCATGTCATCTTCATCACTTTTGTGGTCGGTTGGTACTTCCCAGGGAAGTAAATTAGCAAACATCTGTCAACGGCAATAGCTCCCATTACAAGAGCACTGGCAGGCACAGTAGAAGCCAGCAACATGTGATACACTTTACAAGTAATATCGGAGTCAATTTTGAACTCGAGCCATTCTATGACAATGGTACTTGGAACAATCACCGTGCACACGAAGAGGTCAATGTATGCAAGTGTCAAAATAAAGACGGTGGTAATTGGTCTCGTGTGCTGTCGACCTCTCTGTCTTTTCGGCTTTTTCAAATAAATGATGCATACGAGGATGTTCCCCAAAGTTCCCAAGATGGCAACGACGGCAAGCAACGAGATGGATGCGTATAACTCGGTGCTAGCAACTGTTGGAATCGCCTGGTCAGCGTCACTTGCCATGGTGACTTATCCAATAATACTTGTGTCCTAAAATAAAACAATCTGTTATTTGCCCAATTGACTTACTAAAACGACGCTTGCATTTGACAGAAGATCACAGAAACAATAATATTGTAATATCCTTCAGTGGGGGAAATGGATATACAGCTGTGTGGAGAAAATCCTTTATCTCGTACAATGTTAACCTCTTTTCTAATGCTCTAGATCTGCCATTGTAATAGTGTAATGTTATAAAGTAATTATTAAAATCTTGAGAAGTTTTGCAGAAATGATTTTTTCATAAATTAATGGCAATTGGCACACAGTTACAACACACAAACGACACACACGCACGAATGCACACACACGCTTTTTCGTACAAGGGGCGAAATAGAGTTTCAAAATAGCCTTTTCTGTGATTCATAAACATTATGTTTGAAGACAAAAAATTAAATTCCTAAATATAGCATTGACTTTCGAAATATATAATGCAGCCATGAAATGGGGAACAGGGAATATTTGGGGGAGGAGGTTGCATGGATTGAGAATCTGCCATATCCTCCTGCTATTGGTATGATATGAAGTACTCCCATGGGACTTAACTCTCATGCGAGCCATTGCCCAGGCCTTAAATGAGATAATATACAAAATTATAAAATACTGAATTCAATGCAATAGATCTAACATTTTTTTAGCAATTGTCTTGTATATTGGTCGCTAGTGCTTTGAAATAGACATTGAAACACTTTGTTTCCAGCAGACATTGAAGCAACTGTTTTGACACGTCTGTAAATATTCATTCATTGGCTTAAATTACATGGCAAGGGATTTCTAGACAGTCATGTGTAGTCATTAACCTCTGTGTTTTACGTAGCCTGTATCACAGACGTTCATATTTTCAAAACTATTTTTCACAAGTAGAAACAATAAACACGGTCCTTTATGTACAAAAAGTTAAAACGAAAATGTTGTGAAAAGTTGCAAGCATGTTTTGCTTATCATATATGTCACCTTTGAAGGAACTGAACTAGTTTAGGTAAATGATTATTGTAACGTGCCTATGGTTCGGACAAATTAAATAGCTGCAAACTAGAAGCAATGCGAATAAAGAACACCATTAAGCAGAATGTCCACCAGAAAATGGAGCAAAAGCACACAAAATAACGTCTCAGCACAGTAACCATAGTATAAAAGCTACAATCTCGGACACTCTTTCCATGGCTCTGTGAAAATCCTGAACACTCAGTCATAGTTATATGGTCGGTATGGTTTAGGGTCAATGAAGTAGTCTATAAGGTGTCCCTCAATATTAGTTCTAACCATTTAATTCTTTTTTTTACGAATATAATTTCTGTTAATAGATTTTGCTAAAAGAATTTAATAAATATTGAAGGCCGTTAACCACACTAAATGTGCCAAATTTTCGTAAGTCGTCAATGAAAAGCATAACTCTTAAACCTTTCGTAACAATTTATATCTTCTAACCAATATCGCTGGTATTATAGCTAATTGACTTTGAGGTTTTTGAGCGGACTGGATTGGCTGCTTAGCAGTACTCCCTCGCGATCTTCAAGCTTTTCTTCGATAGTAACTGTAAAGGTCACAGGAGACTGCTCCTATTGGCTCACCACATAAATAGGAAAAAAGGTTCCAGTCTATGGGACCATTCCCACAGATATTTGGATCGATCTATCTCCCTGGGGAGTCTCACTAAATTGCTATCAAACTAACCGACTTAAACGTCTGTCACGCCTAGTAAAACTGTTAGGGGATAATTATCTTT